AATAATTTTGAAAAAGTGACATTTTTGTAAAAATTTCAAAAGTGTGACAGTTTTGTAAAATGACACTTGAAAAATGGCATTTTTTGAAATTTCTCTATATATTTGCGCATATTTTTCTCAATACTGTGGTAGTACGAATCTTCTTCTAGCAGACCTCTTGTGGCACTAGAGCCCCTTCTAATTCTTGTAAGATTTTGAATCACTTTGAACAATATCTTTGGCTGGGAAAATTAGCATATATAAATTCTCATCTCAATTAGCTTTGCGATTCACTGGTCAACTGATATTTCAAATTTGAAATGATATATATATGACAATTTTAGTGTTTAAAGATCGAAATTGTAGTCATGGTCAGAAACTATATAAAATTTTGACCAATTTTTTTGTGGTCAGAAACTATTTTGACAATTTTCGATCAATTTTAGACGAATATTTATTTTCGTTATAAATTGGTTAAAAAATATGACGAAATATAAAAGTTAAAAACTGGTCAAAATTTTTCGACCAATTTTTAATGGATTCGTAAAATTTTCAAAAATGGTCGAAAAATTGCAATAAAGAAGATTGGTTGAAAATTGGTCAAGAAAATACGTTAATCTTTTACCAGTAAAATAGTCAAAAAGTTTATTGACAAATTTTCGACCAAAAAATTATGAAAATTTAAACTCGTCGAAATATGATCAAAAATTTTTGACTAATACAAGTGGTAAATAAATAATCAAAATATTCTTACCATTTATCGACTAAAACAAAATTTGGTCAAAAATTCGTGAGTAATTTTTGACAAACAAATATTTGTCAGAATTTGGTCACAACATTATCGACCAAATATTGATCATATATAGCCTTTTGTATTTGTCCCACGTCGACAATATGGGAGGGATGAATCTTTGACTTTCTGTATAAAATAACACTTACTCTATTTTGAAAAACGTAAATGGGCTTACCATTACCCAAATATTTTATGTTGAAATATTTTAATCCCTGATTGAGTGGATAAAACGAA